GATAGATGCAAGCTTCCTGGGCTCTACTTGAGAAGAAGATGCATAAACAGGGAAAGACTGCTTGCTGTTGCATAGCTCTGAACTCTCAGACTCAAACTAGGAATAGTAACAATTACTTTTGTGAGACAGAGCTTACTTCATCAGATGCATCTATATTATAGGCCAATCCTTTCTGTTGTCTACAGCCGTCTCTCCTTATATATAATGCTGTTTTGGGGTGAATGTTCCACACGCTCCCACAGCATTTGGCTCACTCAGCTGCCACTCAGAAGGTCTGCCAATCCCCTGGTTGTGTTGCCTCGCTGCGTTGCCTCAGTCCCGCCCACAGAGCCGGCAGCCAGCGGCTTGGCCTCAGTCTTGAGGGAACTGGCAAAGGGGATGGACGCTCCGCTGGGCGGAGGCTTAAGGGGCAGCCCGGTGTGCTACAGGAGAGCTCCCTGCTGATTATGAGCGACGGGGATTCCCTTTTCTCCTCCGCGCTTCCTCAGGCGTTCCTTCAGTTCAGAGCCAGGGGGCTGGGCAGAGAGGGAGAGTTTACAGTTCAGTCCGTGAGTCAAAGCCAGAAAGATCAAAAACAAGCAGAGCCAGCGTCCCAATACACAAAGCCAAGCCGTAGTCAGAGCGTTACCAAGGGTCAGAGTCCAGAGAAGCGAGTGTCGAATGTCAGGGTGCAGAGCCGAGGATCAAGAGCCAGAGAGTCGTCAAAACGTGGACTGGATTCAGGAACCTGGAAGTCAGTCAGTATGGGATCTCGGGAACAGCGTCAGAGGTGCAGAGCTTCTGGTCTGAAGGACTAGTTTGCCAGCACGATTTGCCAGCAGTCAGTGACCTGTTCAAATAGCGTGCTGGGTCGTTAACTCATTAGCACTGCCTTGCGAAGTCCTTGATTCTGCTAGAACTCCGGGCTCATTGTTCTCCAACCGCACAAGTGTGCCTCCTTGCGTCCGGTTGCCAAGTCCCGGCATCTCTGATTCCTCAGCCGGTCGACAGGTGGCGGAGAATCTGGTGGCATGCTGCTGGGGCCAGGCACTGCCTGATCGGCTTCAGGTGCAAGCTGTTCCGGGGGTTTGGTATCCATCCTCTCCGGCACTTAGGTTTGGCAAGGACTCTTGTGCCTCTGATGATGTTAAATCCTCCATTTCAGAGCTACCAGGTGCCGGATCGGGGGCAGGTATGACAACTGGCCAGAAAGGCTGCGCGGGAGAAGGAGGCAGACCTAGGGAGTGGCGGCAAGCACAGGAAGCACTCACCTTTGCTGCCTCTCACAGCCCCTCTCCCTCAGACGCAAGGCCAGCGCTTCCTCAGGGAGAGAGCTCAGCAGACGGCCCCGCAGAGAAAGCTGGTTGCCACCTTTCAAAGGCTCCACCCACCTTCCTTCAGCAGCAGCAGGGAGGATCTAGCTGAGAGGAAAGGAGCTGCGGCTCCTGGGAAACCGGACGGCGGAAGGAGGAGCGGGAACGAGCTGGCACCTAAAGTGCTGCGAGAGCTGCATGCAGCACTGCAGGCAGAGCATGAACTGCAGGCAAGAGGTGCAAGAAGCCCCGGCAGAAGCCATCAAGGGGCTGCCAGGCACGTGGGCATGGTGGCTGGAGGAGCTCTCCCTCTCGCCTCACTGAGGCGGCCGCGCACCTTGGGGAGGCTCCGGGGCTGCCTGTCAGTCAGCGGCCACCTCTGTTCGTTGAGAAAGAGTGGGCCGGGCACAAAGGCTTCTCCCCACACCTGTTCCTCCCCCCATCACTTCTCACAGAGATGCTGCTGAGTGCACACTCTCTTTCTCCCCCTCCGGTCAGGGCTCCACAGAGAGAGGGCCGCCACTCTTGAGGGAGGGAGTTGGGCAGGTAAAAGACACTGAGTGCCCCCTTCATGTTGGGGAGGTAACTTTGCTGCCCTTTCGGTGGGAATGTGCTGAGTCCAGGAGCAACAAAACCCAGAGGCAAGGCTTGTGGCACCTTTAAAAGACTCGCCAAGGAGGAGGGCCAGACCGACATCTTGCTAGCGCTCATTGTATTCCTTTTAGAACGGGCTTTGCTATTAGTGTAATATAAATGCATTAGCCTAATTGTTGTACATTTCATACATCTGATGAACTTGGCTCTGATTTATGAAAGTTTACCCTTATTTTCAGTATATATGAGATGGGAGGAAAGCCTCAGAAGTATCTGTCTAATGAAGGCATAATGCATTGCATCAGACAGAGCGTAGTCCAATCCAATTACTTTTATTGGCATGTAACGAACTGTAGTCCACAAAAACTTATGCTGCAATAAAGTGTTGTTAGTCTTTAGGTACCACTAGAGCAGGGGTGGCCAAACTTGCTTAATGTAAGAGCCACATAGAATAAGCATCATATGTTTGAGAGCCGCAAGACATGAACAAATATTGCACACACATTTTTATTGGAAAATATGCAAATTTGCTTTTTATTAACATTATAAATGAGATTGCCAAAAATAAAAACAAAATATTGATAATGATATTTATTTGTCCAATGGTATTTATTTGTTTGCTAATGATATTTATTTGTCTGAGAGAAAGAGAGTGAGAGAAGCAAAGAAAGCAAATAGATGAGGAAGGGAGAGGAAGGGAGAAACTGAGAAAAAGTGAAAGAAAGGTAGAAAGAAAGCAAATAGATGGGGGGAGGGAGGGGGGAAAAGAGAGAGAGGTGGAAAGAAAGCAAATAAATGGGGAGGGGAAAGGAAGTAAGGGAGAGGGGGAAAGAAGAAAAATAATTCCAAAGTCAGAAAACAAGACTTTATTATAAGTATATAAGCATTCTCTAGATTAAAATGTAAAAGTACAGCTGTGCAGCAAAATATCACAGCATCTGAGAGTAGAAAACATCAAATAAGTTTAAACATGCAATACTATTTCCCTAAAAATATACTTACTTCTTGGATGACAGAGATAGGCAGATATTTCGTATAGGTGCTAGGTTGGCTGTGCAGGCTCCGTTCAGCTCAGACACAGTTTTTTATCCATTGGTTGTATCTCTTTTCTAAAGCACGTCTACTTAGAATGTCAGCTTCTCCTCTGCTGCCTCAAAGAATGGCTGCCCCCATGCTGAAAGGGAGCACTTTGCCCCACAAACTCCCTTGACAAAATAAGCCAGGGTGGGACAAAGCAAAGACTGCACCACTGCCTACATGACCAGGCTAGAGTCTTCTCTCTCCTTTGGCTTCTCTGATTTCCCTAATTATCATACAAAGCTACTTCATTCTTCCACCTCTGCTTGGAAATAGGAAGGGGGAAGGAATCTACTTGTACTGGAGGTTTGAGCTTAACCCCTGAACTTTCACAGAGTAAACTCAATGTTCACAAAGAAAAATAGAAAATCCTTACACAGATACTTGGTTGAAGTATCATTTCATCACAGTGCTCACTTCAGATTTCATAGCACTGTGCATTTTCTCTGAATCCCCATCTATATATATAAAAGAACGTCCCCTCACCGTAAAATCAACGCCCAGGCCAAACCACTGGACCTAGAGGCACCAAATTCGGGGAGAGCGCTCCTACCAAGGCGTAGGTGCTCGCTAACAAGGGATTTTAAGAAACGTGACCCCTAAGTGGATCAAAAGGGGTAAAATGTGCTCCCCCCATTGATTCCTATGTGGCTGCCAGGCAGCTGCCTCCTTGCACCCCCCACTCTCTGATTGGTCAGCTGCAGAGCTCAGTGTTCTGAGGTAAAAAACAACATACAGGAGACTGCAGACAGCTAACGACAGTTGAGGAATCAGGAGTGGCCAACAACGACCTGTGAGGTGCAGTAATGCTGCTGGCCCAGCCTCTCTGATGGCTTCCAACACACTCTTCCCCACCTCCTACACCTAACAGGCAGTTAACTGTCAGGTGCAGCCCCACCTCCACAGTGGCTTCTAATACTCCTCCCCCTCCCCCTCCTGCACTGGACAGGCAGCTGCCTGTCAGGTGTAGGAGAGGAGGTGGGATGGCTTCCAACACACTCCCCCCACCTCCTACATCTAACAGGCAGTTGTCTATCAGGTGCAGCAGTGGTTTTAGGGTGCTTAAAGCCATGAGGGAGCCTGCCCCAGCAGTAACACCTTAGTGATCCTGCCGACCCTGCCTCCACAGTGGCTTCTAATACTCCTCCCCCCCTCCTCCTACACTGGACAGGTAGCTGCCTGTCAGGTGTAGGAGAGGGGGTGGGATGCTTACAGCTTTTGGAGAGACTTGCTCAGCAGGATTACCTTAGCACCCCTCACAGTTCTTACCTCTTACTGCCCCCAAGAGAGCTCCTGGCAAATGCCGAGCCAGATACACCAATGCTACAAGGAGGAGGCAATTTAGGAATATGGCAAAGACATTTGCACATAGTATTCCTGCAGTCCACTGAGCTGCACAGGCCAAGTACCAGCAAGATCACCCTGAGGTGCTCAGAACAACACAGTCTCCATATGAGCAAAACACACCAGGAACACAAGTAGAGAGGCCATCCCTTTCGTGGAAGGTGGCAGGAGTTGACTTAACTGATGATTGCTTCTTAAATGGACAGTTCTATGTTGCCTGCTCCAGAGTGAGCTCACCAAGCAGCCTGGTGATCCTAGCACTTGAGGGCAGAACCACCAATGTGGTTTACAGAGAGGTCCTTCAGCAGAGAGGGGGGGAAAGTACGTACGTCTCACTTCATTTTTTACACTACAGTCTTCTCCATTAGAATTCCTACAACAAAAGTTACATTTCAAACTTCACATCATCTGTATTATAACTGGATTTATGGAAGCTAAATACCGTAGCGAAGCACGGGTATCAGGCTAGTGTTATATATTAGAAAATCAGGCCACCTATGTTGCTTCAACAGTGCACTGCTTCTCATTAAGGGCATAGTAGGACAATCAGATTTCTTATTCTTAACTTATATGTGACTACCACATTAACTCCATGAGAGAAACCCTGGCCTGTGACTTAAAATGAAGTTAGCTTTATCATGGTTAATTAGTAATCAAAGGTCTGAATTGATTATATATTTCTTCTGTTTTCAGATCTTGGATGATGGGGGAGACCTGACCCACTGGGTTTATAAGAAATATCCAAATGTATTTAAGAAGATCAGAGGGATTGTAGAAGAAAGTGTGACGGGTGTGCACAGGTTAGAAACCAAAATGGAACCTGCAATCTTTGGCTGTACTACTTTAATTTGAAGCTTTGAGCTCTTTTATAGCCTCTTCCCGAATTCACAACAGATTTTTAAAAATTCAGTAAAGTTCATTCTGTTGTTCATAAAACCTTTGTGAATTAATGATGTGTCATCATTTAGGAACTGCAAAGTTAAGCATAGGTTAGATAAAATGCCTTAACTAAGGCCAAAAAAGGATTGTGTACAGCTGAGCTAAGGTTAAATGCCTTATCTGCTAAATCATAGGACTTCAACTTTGGAATTTAAATTAATTTGAAGAATACTTCCATACAGTCACCAATCCTCTCTTTTCTTCCTCTTGACTCATTTTATGTTAATAAAAGAGAGAGAAAATTAATGAAGTTGAACTGCTACTATTTGTTTTCTCCTGCCTTTTCATCAGTATTTCAGTACATGTACAGAAAACGTTTTGTTAAATTACACTCAGGGTTAATGGGAGTTGCTGGTTAATCAGATGTGCCAGATAGTCAAGCTTGTTTTTCTGCCCCACCCACTACCCAAAAGAAACCACAGCGACCAAACCCCACCCCATTGGGAACCCCATGGCAACACCCATTTGCCTGGCAGGATCCTTCTCCCCAAGCCATGGAGCTGTCCTGTGCAGTAGACACACAAGTGGTCCAGCTGCTTGGGGAGCAGAGGTAATTTGCCATTGCCTTCCTCTGCTACTAACTCCCTAAATTATTAGGCTAGCAGAGCAATACTAAGCAGAACTATATCGTTCTAACACCATTAAAGTTATGGCCTTAGGAGGCTGCAACTTTGCTTAGGATTGCACCATAAACTTATTAGTGTTCCTAAATTACTCTACACTGAACCTAAACATCTATATATCTAATAGCCAAGTTGCCCCCGGAGTGCGGATCGCTAAATCAGCGCTCCAGGGGCACTTGGGGGGGAGGGGGAGGTTTGTGCACACGTGGGCCAGTCCCCATGTGTGCACAAAAAT